TATTCTATTCTATTCTATTCTATTCTATTCTATTCTATTCTATTCTATTCTATTCTATTCTTTATTTATTTCCTATTCTATTATTTCCTATTCTATTCTATTTACTATATTCTATTCTATTCTTATTTCTTATTTCCTATTCTATTATTTCCTATTCTATTCTATTTACTCTATTCTATTCTTATTCTATTATTTCTTATTTCCTATTCTATTGTTTCTGATTCTATTCTATTTACTATATTCTATTCTATTCTTATTTCTTATTCTATTCTATTTTCTATATTCTATTCTATTTACTATATTCTATTCTATTCTATTCTTATTTCTTATTTCCTATTCTATTATTCCCTATTCTGTTTTCTATGTTCTATTCTATTCTTATTTCTTGTTCTATTCTTATATTCTATTCTAATTATTCTATTCTATATTCTATTCTGTTCTTATTTTCTATTCTATTCTATTCTTATTTCTTGTTCTATTCTATTCAGTTTTCCAAACAGCAACACAGCAACTTCATTAATACGATGCACCTCCCTGTCTACCTGACAGGTGTATAATAAACCCACCAAAGTTGTAACAGTTTTCCCCGTCTCTGCCTCTCTCTCCCTCTTTTCTAGCACCAGTTCCTGAAAATTGCCAAGCCCCTCTCCAGCCTCACTCCTCTGATTGTTGCAGCGAAAGAGGCCACGAAGAACAACCACTGAGGGGAAGGAAAAAAGTCCATACCAGCCGTTTCCGAAATCCTTCTGCAAACAGTTTTCGGTTTTATCCTTTTGGGTTTTTTTTTTCTTTCTTTCTTTTTTTTAAGAGACTAATTTTTTAAAAAGTTCCTCCTTCTGTGCAGAAAATGCCTTTTAATCATTTTTAAGGTATTTTTTCTTTTCCTGGGGACTGGAATCATGAAAGTCCAGATGGAGGATCCGGAAACAGACCTATGGCATGGAGTAACTCTTGAGCTTTAGGCACTCTGCCTTTATTGCAAGACTTCTGTGGAAAGGCTGGCTCATCACAACCGTTGCGTTGTTGCCAAACCAACCCGTCTTGATCTTTTAACGTACGGATTTTCAGACTGAAAGAGAAGGCTATTCTGCAGAAACTTAGAAGACGTTTTTCCTAAGCGAGATAACAGTTCTTTTAAGGCGTTGATACCTCTCGGAGAGCCTGCTTCTTAAAACTACTGAAAAATGTGTGTGAATTACTTGAAAACTAGGGCAGGCAAAGAGAAAAGTGGACTGTTTTTTATAATTGCAGAGGTGGAGGTGTTTTTCCTCTGAGCCACTGGATGTTTGGACAAAGTTTGCATGCGTCAAAGAAGATTGAAGTAGTTAGGATGAATACCACAATCGCTTCCCCCCCCCCCACGGGTCCCTTTTGGGAAGGTTAATTAATTGGTGATGATCATGCAATGTGTTTGGAGTTTTGTGTGAGTGTACGTGTGTTTGCACACCTATTTCCCCGAAAATATGACCTACCCTGAAAGTAAGCCCTAACTTGACTTTTTTTTTACACGTGTGCCCAATATAAGCCCTACACCCCTCCTCCCAAATAAGCCCTAATTAAGATCCCACCCTCTCCAGTAAAAATTAAGCTAGAATGGGGATGGAGGAGAGGTGGAGCTGCCCTACTACTTACCTTTGGACAGGTGTAGCCAGGCCTCGCAACCCCCCGACACCTGCCTGGCCGGCCCATTTCTTCTGCATCTGGCAAGGCTGGCTAGGCTTTCCTAGAGACCTCTGGAGCTGATAACAAAGCTCTGGATCGATCCAGAACTCTTATCAGCTGCAGAGGCCTTCAGGAAAGCCTTGCCGGTCGCAGAAGTAGTTCCTGAAGGCCTCTGACAGTGAAAATGAGGCTGGTAGGCGACGCACGCAAATGAGGTTAGTCAGTGGATGACGTCCCCCGAAAATAAGACCTGGTGGCTTTTTTGGTAGCAAAAAATATATATAAGATAGGGTCTTATTTTGGGGGAAACAACGGATATGTGTGTGCGTGTGTGTGTATGAGAAACAAATTGTCCTTTTGATTAAATCCCTACGGCTCTTTCCCATCTTAACTTGCAGTTTAGAACTGGCTAATCTGCTTGTTTGGTTAATAGCTTAAAATAGGACTTTCCAGATGGATTTGAACTTCAGTTCCCAGAGTCCCCGTCCCCCCCCTTAACCAGAGGGATTATGGGAGTTGAAGTCCAGGCCAGCTGGAAGCCACCGGCTGCGGAAAAGCTGCTATGGTTTTTATGATCTCAGATTAAACAATACAGAAATTGGCTCGTCTGGACCTTACTGAAGAAATAGGGTTACACAAATGGGCAGTGAAGGAAAAGCTTGAATTTTGGGGGTTATTTCTTTATTGCTCTGGTAAAGAATATCGTGGTTTCCCGTTTCTAAATTTGCAAAAAAAAAACAACAACCCTCAATTCTGGAGATCAGGATTTGTTTATCTGGTCCTGTGAGCAACTAAGAATTCAATCTTTCCAGATCCAGCTATGGGTGAGAGCATCAACTTATACTGGGAACATGAGTCTCTTTGTGTAAGAAAAACCTTTTAATTTGTGCGAGATGAAAAACGGTGGATGCAAAATCAGCAGGTTTTGAATAAACTAGATCCTGGGTGTTTCACACTGTGATTTGGTTTGTAAAAGGTGAGAATGTCAGAAGGCCAAAGGCATATTAAATGCATGGAAAACCAGCTCAATGCAAGTTTTGACACAACAGTTCTCCTCCTCCTCCTCCTCCTCCTCCTCCTCCTCCTCCTCCTCCTCCT